TCCCCAAAAATTGAGCCCGACCATATAGTTTCATAGCGAAGCATGGGTATTGAGCTAGTTTTTAAATAGACACACAAGGGTTTTGAAAATATTACAGAAAAAAAATCATTATTTGGGGAAAAAAAGCCTCTATAATGTTAAATCCACAATTCTATTAACAGGTAATTCTTACTTAACAAACTATTCATTCAGTGACCATTCAAAGTTACAATAATGCTGAACAAATGATAGTTATGGCCAATCCTCAAAGTTGTGACTGTTGCAGTGTTCCCCCATGGTCACATGATCAAAACCTGGACACTTGGCAGTCTGATTGCATTTATGACTGCAACATGAGCTTCAGCTTCGTCCATCCATCCATCCATCCATCCATCCATCCATCCATTGCCTCTCATCTTTTGCCTTTTGTCCACTTTGTACTCTGCTGCCTACTCCTTCTCCTCTGGCAGAGCTCTGTTTTTTTCTTCCTGCTGTGGATGAGACACAATTGTCTGGGGCAGCTGTTGCCTTGCAGGACGCCCTTATGTGACTACTCCCTGGTTACTCTGGAGAGGCACACTGCAAAGATCCTCCATGGATGGTGAGGACAGTTAGGGTAGGTGGCAGAGTGCAGGGAGGACAAAAGGGCAGAGATGAGAGGCTGGTGGGGGGAGTTGAAGCAGGGACTAGCACAATAGGGGACAAGAAACATGAGGGCCTCACTTAATGACTGCAACTGAGACTACTGGAACTGCTGTCGCTAAGCAGTATGGTTCTGTAATATTTTGCTTGACAACAGCATAGTTTAGCAATGGAGATTCCAATCCTAATTAGGTTTGTTAAGTGAAGACTAACTATATAGTAGGTTTTTGAGATGTAAACATGGATGCTGGAGTATTCATTGGTGGTGATAAATTGGGCATAGAGTATTTTACCTTGGGTTCACATTTAATGAGCCATAGGCATTACTGCTCTGTTTCCAGTTTTGTGTCTTGAATTTAGGATTAATTGCTGATTGTAAAATGTAGCACATTGTAATTGCCTGGCAGTTATAAGATATGGATGATTAGTAATATTGTTTTAAGGCCATGTTATATGAGTATTACTACAAATGAAATAAAGTACATGATATGAGTAGCTTTTAAAGTTAGCAATTAGTACCAAATACTATTATCCTAATTGCCCTGGACAGCTTTGAAAACATACCATAGTGACCTGGAGCAACTCAGAGTTAGCAGTACTCTGACTTTTATTCCCTTATGTAACAGATGGCGCTCATCTGTTGAAAGACTGTCAAGCTGTGGGTTAGCAAAACATTAGTAATAAACCTTGTCATATGTTAAACTTGACCTGACATTAATCAGGCTTGGAATGCTACAACAGAATCATGGATAGTAATTAATGAGCTGATGCTATTAGCAAGCAACAGTATCATACTGTTTTTTCTTTTCTTTTTGGAAAAAAAACAATTACATTGTTAATTTATAGTTAGTGGTAATAATATCTTTAGAGTTTTGCACGGTGAATTTCCCTCCTCTTGATTAGCTAATCTGATTTATTATATTAAAAGCGTAACCAGATAAAGAAATGGTTTTAGAGTGGTGTACAATCTATACAGGTGGTTACTTTCGCTAGAAGGATTTGCATAGTTTCATCTAATGTGCCAATTGTCCATTTTTCTAGCTTGGAAAGTACTTCAGACAACCACTAATGTCCTAGTCATTTCACTGGGCAATTGTTCTAATTCACTTTACATATGGCTGTTCTTGAAGCCCACACAGAAACTTTTAGAATTTAGTGTTGTGGGCAATAACATATATGCCTGTGTGATACCAGTATGCTTCTGAGAGAAATGCAAGGTGCTGGTTATGACCTATAAAACCCTATGTGGCATTGGGCCTGATTACATGAGGGAAAGCCTATCTCCTGTGGAATCAGCCTAGCTCATTCAGTCTGACAGAGCTGGTCACTCTGGGTCCTTTCAGTTAAACAATGTCATATTTGAGCTCTAGAAGCAGACAGACCCCACCCCTTCTCTGTGCTTGTCCTCTGAAATAAGATTCTCTAATATGGCTTCCACTCTGTAGGCATTCTGGAAAGCCTTAAAGACCTTAAGTCAGGGTGCTAGGGGCTCCTGAGTGTGATTATAAAGATCTTATTTCTTTCTTTTCTTTCTTCATTTTCATAATTATATTTTGTTTTTATTCTGTTGGTTTTATTGTGTATCACCCAGAATTGAATGATGCCTTTTTTTAAACCTCTATAAAATTAATTGTAATCTTGTTTATTTCTCTCCAGGCAAATATATACATGCATCATATGAGACTGAATATGACTTTTATATGTATTAAAAAGATTGACTATCCAAACATTACACATGTTTCTGTGCTTTATGTTTAGTGGTAGCTGAATCTAAAATCGACCATTTAAAAAATATTCGTATTGAAATTGATGAGAATTTATTCACAGCTGTATTAATTTTAAAGGATTTGTCTAAAGTATGAATACGATTGAATTCAGCTCTTAGATTGCGCTAGACATATTTTCACTGTTCCAAACAGGTTTTTTTCCTCTTGGGTCTTAATATATACCAATGGTGAAACTCCTATATATTTCCATTTACTCTTATATCTCAGGAAGAGGTCTTGCTTTGCACCCTGTTCTCCACATAGTAATGACCCAAAACAGGTCCTTTTTCCATAGTAGTATAATGATATGCAAAATCACTTTTGATTCCCCCCCATCAATTAATTTTATCAGGCTAATTAGAGAGTTATGCTTTTATAGTGAAATATGTTTTGTAATAAGTTAGCCTGGGCATGAATATCAGAATGTGGCATGTCTGTATATTGAATTCCTGTGCGTGCACACACACATATACACACATTTATTACATGTTCTTGTCTGATACAAAATTATTGCAGATATGGTCTTGACTAACTTTTCTCAATATAATTCAGAATGGAATTGGTTTGATTATACTCAGTTTTATTTTTTCATTATAAAAACAATATTTTATTTAAAAATCCTTAGTTCTAGAATAGTAAATTGCATTTGATTATATGCACTAGCAAATGAAAAGTAAAAATAAAACCTGTGAAATTAGCAACATATTACTACTGTCTTCAACAAATGTTTTAATATATTTTGCTCTGTAACATTATGTTTATTTTGTATTTGCTGATTATATTATCTGTCCCCCATATATATGATATACTTGGCTATCCTATTAATTAGGCTATCCTATTAATTGGCTATCCTATTAATTTTTTTGCAATTATAAGTAGTTCATGTTGCATTATCCAAATTGTACAAAAAAAGATCTATTATTATAACAGCATTCTCATTCTTGTGTCTGCCATAAATTAATTTAATTAAAACTTATAATTAGCAGTTTTAATATATTTTAACCAGAAGATACTGATTTAAAGTTTGCTTTAATACTATGGTATGAAGAAGAATGGATATTTGAACCTATGTTTATTCTTTTTAAGCTGTGGTGCCTTTCATGTTAATATTTAGGCAGAATAAACAGTAGACCAGTAGACCAAAAGTAGAACAGTAGACCAAAATATTTTTTGTTTGGTTTAAATTTAGAGCAACTTTTTATACATATCTTGATGAATGTATCTTTTCTTTTATGTATACTGAGAGTATTTGCACCAAGACAAATTCCTTGTGTGTCCAACCACACTTGGATAGAATAAAGTATTCTATTCTATTCTATTCTATTCTATTCTATTCTATTCTATTCTATTCCATTCCATTCCATTCCATTCCATTCCATTCCATTCCATTCCATTCCATTCCATTCCAAGTACATACTAGTAGATTTTATCTTCTAATATTCCCAAGACTTCCTCATTCATACGTGATAACCCAACTAGTAGAAGAAGTCGATGTTTACCTTAAACAATCTTAAAGGATTTATAACAACTTCAGATATAAATTCATTGGCTTTCATAAGGTAATGGAGAAGGTTAAGAAAAAAAAAAGTGTGGAAAAAGTGGTCCTACAAAGACTATTAAAAAAGAAACAAGTCTGCAAAAAGGAGATCTTATTGGCATAATGATGAAGATTATTATAATAATGTATACCTAAAGATATATACCTTAGTGAGAGCTAGTTGGTCCAGTAGTTAAGGCTCTGGGCTGGAAACCAGGAGACTTGAGTTTTAGTCTACCTTAGTCATGAAGCCTGCTCTCTCTCTCTCTCTCCCTCTCAGACCACAATGTCAGACTTAGGCAACAGGTTGGTCGATCAATTTCTGTTGCAACCAAATGGATCAGTACTGGATTGATCTGATAAAAGCAGACTCTACACTAGAAGAACACTAGGAACAACAACAAAAATGTTTATTATAAAATGCTTATTACCACTCTCATCTGGCAGTGTTTACTTTTGACTCACTATAGTTTAATTCTATGTCTTAACCTGAATAAATGGTGACTGATCTAATCCCATGGTCATGTTTGAGGAATGGGTGGGTCAAGCCTCAGACCCCTAACTCAGTTGGATTATTTTTTTTTCTTTTCTGCACTTGAACTGCTACTAATTTGGATAGAACGAGTAAAACGTAATATGGTCACATGTAAAATGATTTCCATACCCCTACTTGAAAGCATTTAAAACGATGCTGACTAGTAATGCTTAGAGGCACTGTTGGTATGAATTAGAAATTAGTGTGGGAGAAGCAAGGATAAAAAATGGGCACAAAAAAGGCAAGGACTGTTACATCTCAACTGGCCTCATGTCTTCTGCAATGCATACTTCAATTCATGAACATTAAAATGTGTTTACTGTTTCATTGCAGTGCTTATCTCCTAATACCATCTGCTTTTTAAACAATTAATTAATAGACATTAGATGTTAATTCTTTCCAATAAATGCTGTGTATAATCTTGAGGGGAGTTATATGGTATATAAATTAAGCAGAGATGTTTAGATATTTTTCTTTTATATGTCAGGGTTGTTTTACTTCTTAATTTCAATTGCTAATAATCATTTGGTGCTTCTTGCAGCTTCTTGAGGGAAATTTTGCAAGAGAAGTCTCTCATGAAGTGGATGGACTAATTTTTCAGCCTGTAGGAGTAAGTTGCATGAATTTGATTGTTACTGTATTAAAATTATGTGATAAAATTTAAAAGTAATCAATTTATGCTACAGAAGAATGCTTAAATTGCTATCAAAAACATTCTACTTAAAATATAATGTTTTTGATAGTAACTTTTTTCCTTGTCTCTACAAAAAATAGCATGCCCTGTTAATATGAAATATTTAAGATTACATATTTTATTACCTCTCAGTCTATAAATCATAAATATATTACATATTCTTAAAGGTTTAGAAGATTCAATTGTTTTAGAATAAATATCTTTGAATACTTTGAAACTCCACAAACTGCCATGTGGCACTTTAAAGATTAACCAATTTGCTTTAATGTAAGATATCATCTATCACAATTCATTTCACTAGATGCATGAAATACAATTCTGAGAATGGTGTGGAGAAAAAGAGCAAGATCTATGTATTTGTGTATGCATGTACACTTACACATCTACACACAAACCCACACGCACGCACACACACAACACATTCACTAAGACAGTGATCCCCAACCTTTCTTATGCCGCGGCCCGGTATCCCCAACCTTTTTTATGGCGCGGCCCGGTACCGGCATTAGCTGGGCGCCGCCATCTTTTTTTGATGAAAAAGTGCTTCCGGTGA